CTTGTAGCAGACATTAGTCTAAGTATAAAACTGCCTTGCTGGCTGAAACTCGCCCTTGCTCGAGTCTTCACGTCTGTGCCTGCGCTGTGAGGCATCTTTTTGCCCAGTATGGCACTTCCCTCCTCCCTCTCCCATGTCTGGGTACATGTCTCCCGGACATTCACCTCACTCTCTTATCCAGCCTGAGTAGAGTCAGAACAAAGATAAAAATGATAAAGCATCCCTGGAGGGAAGCAGGCAAGGGTATTTTGAGTATCTTCAGCAGAGGGAGTGGAGTAAACATTCTTCCGTGGCCATGAATGCCAAGTCTCCACATTTCTAGGAAAGAGAATACAGATGTTGACCTCATCTGGAAAGGTTAATAATTACATGTTTCAGGTTTTCTAGAGAACTACATGCAAATGACTACTTGTTTATCTTTCACCTTACCTCAAAGTAGTTTCCTTCTTGTAATTTCATCCACAGACATTCTGTGCTGAATCAAAGCAATAGGTTCCTAACAGTTTTATAGTGTCCTGGCATCTTGGATTCATTTATATGAGCAGTACTTTTATCCCTGGAAGTGTTTCTGTTCACACTGTCCCCACTTTCTCCACCAAGCCCTGGAAAGGAACCAGATCAGTGGCAGCAATATCATAAATACTTGAAAGGGGAAGTGACAGTATTTCGTTTTTCATTTAATTCTGGAATTTAAATATGAGTTCTGATCATTAAGTCACAACAAAATAGTGTTTTAACAACAATATGTTAGCTTGCCACCACTACAGCAAAATAGACCCAAGGCACCAACCTATAAAGATAAAATAGGTTATTTTGACTCAGAGTTATGGAGGGTCTGGTCCAAGATTACATGGCCCTCCTTAGGGTAGGGGTGCTGCTGTCAAGTGAGACACAGAGAGGAAAAACTCAATCCACAATATCTCTTTGACGGGTATGCCCACAGTGACTGAAGAACCAACCAAAGCTTCCACTCTCCAAATTTCAACAGTCTAAGGACCAAGTTCTGGACACATGGACCTTTGTAGACACTCAGTTCAAACTGTAACAATAAGATAGTCGATACTTTCTCTCTGCTTTTGGTCTCTAAACATGTTCCCCAATAAAAGGAATAAAGTTGTTTAAAGAGTGAAGGTGAAATGTAACAAGAATGGAGGAGGCACCTTGAAGAGCAGAGAAAGGAAAGAAGATGAGGTCAGAAAGCCTTGAGCATGTAGTCCCATCTCCACAGCGGGCACAGGACAGTATTCTGGTGTGGCAGACCTGCTGACCCAAAGGGGTCTCAGTATCTCTTTAGTAGTTCCCCTACCCTGAACCAGGTCCTGGATATGTTCTACTCAATATCCTGAGCTCTTCAGGGCTTTCTAGACCATAGAAAAGTCCCAGGAGAATTCAGTTTTAGAATGCACTTCTCACTTCATCCCCTGCAAAAGAACCTGAAATACCTGCAAAATTTTACCCAGTCTAACTCAAATCTTAAATTTTTATAAAATTTTAAATTACATTTTATGTTTGTTTTATGATAAGTCTGATAACTATAAATAAAAAATATCTCTTTTTTAGAAAAGCAGTGTTCTAAATCCTACTTGTAGTTGCATATTGCTGAGTTCTTTGATGGGATTTCAAGGTTATAAAAGTATTATACCACAACTTCAGGCAGAGCCTCAGTCTAGCAGTTTGAAGTTTTTACATGATTTTTTTTAATTCACTCTCTTTTACTGAGATTATTAATAAAGGCAGCTGTACTAGAATTATACTACGCATTACAAAGTGCTGTCTTCCATTCATGGACATATGCGCCCCTTGCTTCACCCTGTCACCTCTGCAGTTATGTCTGTGCTACTGATACTGGCCAGGCCCAGTGTAAGAACCCATAAGAGCCCAGCAAGATAAGGCTTTGTACACGACACTTAGGAATGATATGTGGGTCTTTTAAGAGCCACCTACTCACTGGGGAATGAACATGTCTAGGACATGTGGGCTGCAAGTCCATGCTGCACCACCATGTCTGTCTAGTGTGGCAGATGTGAGAAATAGGCACCAGGGAAATACCCAGGGTACTGGGGAAACTGACAATCTGGAGATGACAGGAGGATTTGTCCACAGATTTGCTTGTTCCTCAACAGCTTAAGCATTTTACCCAAAATGTCTGACCAACTACGTCCTGGGGATGTGTTTAAACCTAAAGGAGAGATGTCTTAGCAAGGCATGATGTCAAGCAACTTATCTTAAGAAAATAAACATATGAACTAAGATATATATTTGAAGACAATCCTAATAATTCTATAATAAGAACAAAAAGCGGGGGAGGGGGGACACAGTGGGCAGTGTGGGAGTGTTCTTCATTTTTGATGCCCTGTAAGCTCTGAAGCAGCAAAGAAGCATGATGACATGGAGAAGTGTTTATGATGTAATGTGAAGCTGTACAGCCCAGCATAAAAGTGTGTGTGCAGTATGATTACAATTCTGTCAAGGTTTCTATTTATAAATATCTGTGCAGAAGAATGTGAGTCTGTGAACTGTTGGTGATTAGCTGAGTTTATTTCCCCTGTGTTCCTTACTGTATTTTTCCAGTTTGATACGAGAATCACGTCATTTCTATACAAAGCTAAAATGTATTTGTCATTATACATCATTTTTATGCATATATATGTATTTGGATATATGTGTGTGCATATTGCTGTTGTATAGGTATGTTCATGTGCAAACGTGACTGTATGTTTTGGTATCATGATTCTTGAGTTCAAGCAATCCTTGTTTTATTTAATAAGAGTTTTAAAGCCCAATAACAGTGATCCTGGCTACTTGGAAATGACAGAGATGCTGTAAAATAACTTTCTTTAACTGAGAAGGTAAGTACGAGTAAATCAAATATTTTTAAGAGCAATGACTTATTTGAATAACTTATACCACAATACATCCTCAGAATTGTTTTGAGCTGTTATTATTTGTTATTATGAGCTGTTAATTTTGTACCATGTCTGTAACTGAACTTTTATCACAGGCACACAATTATAAAAAAAACTCATGTAGCTTATAGTACTATCCTTTGTCCCAGGCATCTCTGGGACCACACAGGTAAGGGAGCCTTGTTTTGACTCGTCTTTGGTTCACTAACAGATTTTTTCCTAAGTAGCTTTCAGTTTTATTTGATATGACTTGGTTCCAAAATATAAAAATCAGTTTTGTCAAAATAGCAGAGTTTATGCATCTCAGATGAGTTAAACAGACAGATAAGTAAAGCAAAATCTATTCATCCAGATAAACCTGTCTGTTGAAGTAGAACCAGTGCAGGGCAGTCTTGGCAGGTGAGACCCTTTCACTGTAGAGAAGTCTCCCAAGAGCCCTGTTCAAATTTTGAGATCTATTTTTAGTGATAGTTAAAACTGTCTCATTTGCAAGGGGTTTCCAAGGACTTAAAATATTTGTAAACCTTATTAAAAAGTATAGTTGGTAAGATTCTGTGAAATTGTATAGACTTGCAAAGTAGACTGAAGTTAACAGTCAAGCAGGGTTGTATATTCTTATGGTTGAAGAGCCACCATGTCCATGACATTGAATCCTGTGCTTCAGCTTCATTTCTTAGACACAAGCCAGTGCTGTAACTTAAAACAGAGCTCAAGAAGACTCAATTAAATTAAATTATTTTTTACTAAAATTAATTTAGCCCACCCAATTCATCCTGAAACTTCAAGTCATGAGACAGTCCCCCATTCCTCTATTTGTGGGTATTTGAAACATCTCAGCTCAAAAATCTTAGAGCCTCTGAGGCAAGGATTCAAAGTGCTGAGGAGCAGCTGGTTGGTGGAGGAAAAAAGGCCAACTAGAGAAGAGAGCCCTGGGTTCAAACCCTCACCAGAGGACTTTGTCACTGGGAAAGCCCTACTGCCTCCAGAAAAGTTTCTGATGAGGCTCGTGTAATACCTGCCTTAGGCTAGCTTTCCTCTGCCTGCCTCCACTTAACTAGCATACCTTTGTCCTTGTAGGTCCTGCAGTTTCAGAATAAAACAGTCACTGCTCAGATGCTTACTGTAGGATTCCCAAGTATCCCATGCATGCCCTCCCCAGAGCTCCTCTGGCCCTCTGATTACATCCAGCCTTGACCCTGCAAGATCTTTTGATCCAGGAGTTATTTAAATAGAGATGATGAATAAAGACAACTCAGGGTCCAAAAGCTTTTGTTTTCAGATGCCCACCACTGCTGCAGTTACTGTGTAATGTCTGGGAAGAATGGACCCTCTTGATGCTGGGGCATCAGCCTATACAGCCCCAGGGACCAGGCTGTCTACTTAGGGACTTTTTGCACTGCAGACAGCTGGTGAGGGGGGCCAGAGAGGCACAGAGCTTCAAGTGTCCTGTTTTCTATTTTTATAAGGTGAGCCTTTGGCACAGTTTTAACTGCCAAAGTCAGAAGATCTTTTGAATTCAGTAACAAGATTCCTTAGGTTCCAGCCAGCAACAGCAAGGTCTATTACAGGAAGCTGTGGTAAGAATCTGTGCCAAGACGGGGAGCAGAGAAGTTGAAAAGACCCCCATACTGTTCACCTGCTGGGGTCCATGAAGAAAAAGCCAGGCATCCCAGATTGCAGCTTGGGGCCATGGAGCAGATGTGCCTCATACCACTTCTTCCTAAACACCTTCCTTTAAGTCTGCAAAGAAAGGGTTTTTGTTCCTTCCTCTATATGGTGAATGTATAAGAAATGACAACAGAAAGTCTAGGAACAATGGAACATTTTATTACTTCATCAGGGCCCTTACAGCAGAGTGTGTAGTGTGCCAATCCAGCAAAAAAACACCCCCATCCCCCTGGAAAAGTTTTATGCTGTTTATGTAATTGTGCCCAGTCTTTTTCACATTACTGTTTTATTTTTAAAGCCATTAAGAATTTGGTTCGTTTGTTTGTGATGCTTTCCCATTGCATCTTAACCAGTTGAGGTCTGCTTTCTAAGAATTGGAAGTACTGGTGAACAGGTATTTAGAGCCCTCCCCATCTCTCTACCAAGTTCCCTCCAGGCTTTCAGCTGTCGAAACTCACCCGTCCCGGTCTGTGGACAAAGACCACTGCGAGATTTTCAAAGAGGCAACCTAAGAACCAGTGTCCAACCGACACTGTGAATCCAGTGGCACGGATGCCCACTTCACAGATGGAGAAGCTGAGGCTCAGAAAGGTCGGGTAACTTGTGAAGGGAGTTGTGGCTCCCTCTGATTCTAGAATTGCTGCTTAGTATAAGCCCTAACTGTCATGCCAAAACTTCTTGTCATTGCCAAAGTTGCACACATGGAGCATCAGGCTCTGTGTGTTCCACTTATTGTCAAAACTGTGCTTCAGGGTTCAGATAAGGAAAGTGAGACTAAGGCAACTCCCTAGATGTCAGGATGGAGCTGTGGCTCTCCAGCTTCCAGCCCCCTTCCTGTATTGCACAGATTCATGTATGCCCTGGACAATTCTCCCATGGAAAATAGCTGCCAGGGTTATGGCTCTCACCCTGCTGATATATGAGTTGCTGGGTGCCCAGAACCTTGCTCTTTTTGAGAGAACCTTCTGTATCCACCCTGGGTAAGAAATGAGAGCATTCAATGTGCCTAAGAGGCCCAGGCTGCTCCCAGAAGCTGGCCCAGGTTCTTGCACAGACTTATGAAATATACAACTCATACTTGATTCCTTAATGAGCCCAGCACAGCTCAGAGGTCTGCTAAAGGGACAGATGACAGTGTGGCACAAAATACTTCACCTAGAACCCTCTTTTAAAAGATTCTGTGGAAGGACGTTAGAGCTGCACACAGCATTAGCTTTGTGCCTTATATATTTGCTACAAAAAATGTCCCTTCTGTAGCTTCCAACATTTACCCAGATCAACACTGCTGGAATGCGTAATGGTTTTTCCAGAGTTCTGTCTTGGAGGTTGTTTGGCTTGTGGGCAGTAAGCCCTGTGGAGTTTGGGGAAATAGCCAAAGAAAGAATGGTGTGTCAGTTAGAGTCTATAACGGGAGGTGTGTATTTTTCTGTCTGTTCTCTGTCACAGACTTTGGGGTTCGAGGGCCGAGGGGGGGGGGCGAAGGCTTAGCTTTTTGCCCATCACATACTGCCCTGTCCTGCCAACCGGACTTTTTGCAGGAATCTCAAAGCAGTGGAGATAAACCTATGACAGAGTACGTGTTAGTTTGTACTGCCCAGACTATATATAGATCAGGGGGAGGGGTTGGCTGTGGAGCATTTGAAGGAAAAAGAAAGAGTTTAAAGAAAAATGCAGTGGGCTGAAAAGAGGCTGAAGCATGGAGCCAGGGCTGCTCTGGGCAGGAAGAGTGGCGAGTAGACTTGGGGAGACATGAGACACATATTTCACCGCCACAGAACTTTCCTGGAGGAGACAGTGTTTGCTGTAACCACATAAATGTTTCAGAGCTTAGGAAAGGAAGAGCATTAGGAGACCAGTCAGGGGAGTGGAAAGCTTCACTGACTTAGGAGGCCCTGTACACTGCAAACCAGAATATCAAATGCACTTATACTTTCCAAATTTCTGTTTCTTTTATGTTAAAGCATTTTAGAAAGAATGTTCTTGCCTAGAGACCACAGACATATTTTCTTGATTTGAATTAAGTGTTAGTTCCTAGACGGAGTCAGTCATATGAGCTGTGTGTAGGCATCTGCTCTGCTGGTCCAGGCAAACTTTCACTGAGACATAAATTCCAGAAGAGGGAGTGGTATTTTTCTTTAAAAGTGAAAGGTTTGAAAGCAAACCCTAAGATTTTTCTTAGTCAGGGAGTGGCAGAAGTAGAGAGGCCCTTTGGGTTCCCCTAGCTTGTCCTTGCATAGACAAGGGCCCTTCCCAAAACCCCTGAAACATCTCTATCCCAAATTTTGAGTTCAAAGACCAGAGGAATATGACCTTCCTCTCCCCAGCCTCGTGCTACTTTGTCCTTCAGCAGTAGGGGCCTTTTCTACAAGATGAAGTAGACATAGGTTCTACCCCCAGGGCCATAGTACCTTCCGTAGTGCTGGCTTGACTCCCTTCCATAGAGCCATCCTTCCAAGCACATGAACTGGAAAAGGGAACAGAGAACTGGGCCACTAGAGGTAGTTTATCAGGACAATCAACAGTCAGCTGATGGCAGACTCAGCACTAAAGTTGCCACTGATGGCAGCAGTTGAGGGCAAAGATTAGTGGAAGGTTGGTCAGAACCCAGCCTGAGTAGCCTGCTAAGGTTTCACCACCCAGGGATTTTTGCAGCCAGTCATGCTGTGTCATTGCTGGTGTCATCATTGTCATCAGCCTCAACCCCAGGTCCCCCTGCAGAGAAGTGGGAGAAGAGAGCCCACAGGCATTTATATCAGTGCTAGCAAGGCCATGAGTAGGCTATTGAAGCGATTGATTCCTACCTCAGAGGGCGAGTAAGATGGCAGGCAGGCAGGTGAAGGCAGCCTAAAGCTGCCTAGGACTTCAACTTTTGCTAAACAGTGAGTCCAGCCTCCCAGGGAAGGTAGGGAAACACCAGGAACAATCTACCAAGTAGTAGGCAGTCACAATTAAAAATGCCACCATGTCCCTCTGACTGCTTTTTCCATGCTGTTGAGGTAAGGTCCTTGGTAGAGATTTGTTGTTGTTGTTGTTGTTGGGGTTTGTTATAGTTATTGTTTTTATTTGTTTAAATACATCTCCTAAAGACTGCATCCCCATCAACTAGAGAAGGTAGAATTTTTTTTTTAAATCTCCAAAGATTTCTATGCCTTTTCCCTAGGAACTATTTGGTTTTCATAGATTTGAATAGGACCTGGAAACTATAGGTTATTTTCAGTCTTGTAGGAAAAAAAGCTAAGCAATTTCATGACTGAATTCTTCCATGCCCTTTTTCATCAGTCTAAATATTAGCATATGCCTAATTCATCTATCTCAGCTTCCTCCTGTCCCTCAGGAGCTATGAAGAGTGTACATCTAACAGGAGCTACTCTGGGGATAAAGAGAAAAGAGTTCTCACAATTTAGGGTAGAAGGAGGGTCAACTCAGACATTTGCTAAGTTTGACAAGTCTAACCTGTCCAAGCTGAACCACCTGTATTTTTGGTGAGTTCTGTTACTCCCTAAGCTGGACTGCAGGCTTGGCTATGTACTGTCTGTGCCTATGAGGTTTTCTGCTTCCTCCGAAGAGAGGAAAGATAATCCCATAGCCCTGGACTTACATCTGCAGAGCCAAAAACCCCACTTGTCCATGTGTTGAGATGAGACACTCATGTCTTTACTTTTGTTTTATCTTGTATGTTTTTCTTTCATGTAAATGCAGAGTTGCTTCATATGTATTTGTCCCGTTTGTGTGTTGCAGGATGTCAAGGTCTTTAGTGAAGATGGGACGAGCAAAGTGGTGGAGATTCTAACCGACATGACAGCCAGGGACCTGTGCCAGCTTCTGGTTTACAAAAGTCACTGTGTGGATGACAACAGCTGGACTCTGGTGGAGCACCACCCACAACTGGGATTAGGTAGGGGACTAGGTTCTTAGCATGGGAATACCATCTGGAGGCTTTAGTGTGTGATCAAATAGGTATGCCACAGCCAAATGTAAATGTGTCATCATTTCCTGCCACGCTGGCTAGTGGTCCATAGTTGCTCTCCACTCCTTCCGGCCCTGTCCTTCCTCCTAAATTTCACTTTTCTCCCTCTGATACTCCTGAGATTTTCTCCTTGTTCTCAGAGCAGTAACTTCCCAAAGGCTTAGGCTGGGTCATAGGTCCTGTCTGACTTGATTCTTCTCTAAATGTCGAGAGCCCTGAGGGGGCTTGCTGCCCATCTGTGTGTTAGAGCCCATCAACCACTGGATTACAGCTGCCCAAATCAGAGAGTAAGTAGCTCACTCTGACGATAGGAAGAAGGGAGCCATGACTCCTTTGCAGTAGGAACAGGGAGTCAGGATAATATTACAGAGGCGTCTCATAGACATATAATGCTTACGTAGCATCTTTGTGAGGTGATGCCTGTGCTGTGTGTGCACATGTGCACAGGCACATACATGTTTGTATTTTCTCTGTATAACAAGAGCATATTTTAGACTGTAGAACATTTGAAACTAGATCCTTTTGTGTGTGTGCTCAGTTGGTTCATCTCAGGTAAAGACACTTGTCAGACTTTTGCTTAAAATCTTATTTGCATGAAGTCTGAAGCCTGCAAAATCATGAGCAGGTATTTAAAAACAGAATTTTCACTCAATTAAGCTATAATTTTCCCATGTCTTCCATGTCTTTAAAAAGAGATATCAAATTTCACAGTTTTAAATTCTGCTTATAACCCTTTTGAAAGGTTAGTAAAGTGGATTGTAACCTCTTGGCTTAGAATAGTCATTGAATTGACTGGCACTCTTCCAGCAGATAGCATACAATGCTTTAAGCAGAGATAATGTGATGTGAGCTTGAGTCACAATTTTCTACCTCTCTTTGGACTTGCAGATACCTGTAATGCATGGCTGCAGACACACAGAACTCTAGTGGGTTGTTTCAGTTACTTTTCCCATTACTACGACAGAAAAGCTTATGGAAGGGGGCTTTGGGGTGGGAGAGGGGCCTTACTGTTTGAAGGTTGAGTCTAGGATAGAACAGGTTGTGACAGCAGAATTACATTTCATCTACAATGAAGAGGGATGGCTGCCAGGCCGCCTGCTTCCTTTGAGTTCTGGACCCTAATCTATGCCATAGTGCTGCCCACATTCCGATTGGGAGCTCTCCACAGAGACTGTGGGTCTCCTCCCCCTGGCTCAAACTGTCCGGAAACCCCTTCACACAGTGTGCCCAAAGGCATGTTCTTAAACGACTCTAAACCCAGTCATACTGTCATGAAGATTAACCATCACACTCTTCTTTCCCATCTACTGCCTACCTATGTGACACCTGAGCCTTTTCCATTGTCACTACCTACCTTCTGCCATATTCCTTCACAATGACTGAACTACACTGTGACAAGTATTTGTGGTGTACAGTCTGTGGGCATAATGGCATGCACTGAGACAATTGGTACAAATCCACACAGGGATGGCTTAAGAAACTACTCAATTCAAGGATTTCTGATGAGAGCCCTGGGTGTGAAGCCACCATACAGTGCATAAACTAGATAGTAAGGCTTTGGAAAGAACTAGAACAAGTGTACCTCATTTTGAGGAAGTAAAAAAGAGGACACCCGTACATATACAGCCCTCTGATGGTGATATTTCTGCGTCCCTTTCTTTGTTCTTTTCTCAGTCACTTTAAAAGTACACTAGTGTACTTTAAAATGAATAGTATTTTATTTTGAAATCAAATTAAAATGGGGAAAATATAAAAGAAAGAATAAATGAAATTATTTTAAAAGAAACAGGAATCTTTGGGTTAAAATTTGGGTCCCATTAGGCAAAAAAGTAATTAATGAGCCCCAAAAGGCCAGAATCTAGAAGAACTGGATATATGCTCAGACATTTTTCCTTGGATGTCTCTTCCACACCAGTTCCTCTCTTGTTGCAGACAGTAAAATACACTTACCACCTGGGCTAGATCGTGGAGAGCACCCCCAACACAAGCTCCCTTTCTGCCTTCCATTCCTCTCTATTGGGGGGGGGGGGGGAGAGAAGAGTGTGTGTGTGTGTGTGTGTGTGTGTGTGTGTGTGTGTGTGTGTGTGGTGGTTGTTGTTGATTCAACCTATCATTTAATTAAAACAAAAAAAACATAGCTAATTAGCCCTTTAAAAGGAAATTCAGTTTCTGCCCAGTTGCACAGCAGTCTCTTGTCAGGGTCCTACTGGTAGAGAGACGTGGCACTCTGCGGTTCCTCTCAGAAATCCCTCCTCAGCATCAGCTGCCCTGCTGCTGAGGGCTGAACCACAGGCTTGTGGGAGACTCTTTGTAATGGATGTTGCTCTAGGGTGGGTTTCTGGGTCCTGGCCTAAAGTGTGGGGCCTCACCTATGCTCAGTGTGGAACCACCCTGCCCTACATTCCTGGGAATCACTGTCTCCATGGAAATAGCTCTCTTGGCAATTCTATATTGAGCCTTCTTCTTAGGGAGGAGGACACACAGGGAAGCAGTACAATGTACAAGTCTTTTGGGCAAATTCTAAAGCAGATTATGACCCAAAACTGTGACAAATAGGAGCATAAAGATAGCATTCTGATAGTTTTAGTTCATAGGTAACCACAAACTAAGGTCTTCAAAACAATTACTATGCTGATTTTTGCAGCTGATCTACTGGAAACTTAACCAGATGTTAAAGTCTTAAAGTAGACACAGTTTTAAAGATAGCCTGTGTGAGCCAGCTCCCTTTTTGCTAGAAAAGTCTATAATGACTTACTATGGTTACGGGTCATCCAGTAGACTGATGGAGAATTAGTACCCAGTAGTGTTTCTGCCCTGTCTTCCTTATATCTGTGAGTAAGCAGAGGTGAAAACCTGTGAGCCAGAAGCTCATGGTTCTTCCAGTCCCCAGTGTCACCTTCTGCTGACGTCTACCTCTGTCTGAGGTGCCGTCTTTCACAAAATGCCTAGCAACTAGTAAACATCTTCTGTGTCTTGCAGTTTCCCAGGGACTGATTCTCCAGTCCTTCTGTTCTTTTCACTAATAAAAGTATCATCCTGATGACCACTCCCCATACAAGCCCCCTACATGTTGGGGCTTCTTCAGCCTCCCAAGTGTGGGAACAGTCAGTGATAAATCTTTGCCTAGAGGCATTCCACAGCAGCCTGGGGACACCAGCTATAGAGCCCTGAACAAGGGCTCAGCAGGATTTCTCCTCTGTTTCCCAGCTTCCTGGGGAAGGAACCTGAAGTTGAAGCTGCAGCTAGTTTGCCTGAGGAGCCACAGTGAGGCCCTTCTGGGGTCCATAGCCAGCTGGGGGAAAAGCAGATCCTTCAGGGCTGCATGGGCTAGCTTGGCAGTCACTGGTTACCTGAAACCACAGTGGGGCCCAGTTTCCCCTGCCTCCTTCCCCAGGCACCAAGCCCTCCCCTGTGTACGTGCAGTATGTGTGCAGCTTCCCTAGGACCTCTTTCAGGCAGCTGCTGTTAAGGATCAGAGCAATATAGACCACAGCCTTGGTCCTAGCTAGAAAGCTCCCTACAGGGTCTTTGTGCCCCCTCGGGGTTCTTTGGAAAGCACAACACTTTTTGATTTAGAGCTAGCTACTGCATTCTTACTAGGGCTGCTGCTACCTCTCTGTTTTACTCTGTTTTGTAAATGGTAAAAATATTTTATTCCGTAAAACAACCACCTACAGGTTATTGGGTTGTTGAGTTTTAAGTTTGTTTAGAATATTTTCTCTGAGTAAAGCTCCTGATGGAATTTGCTGATGTGTTTTTGGACGAGAAAGCCTGTTTAAAATGAATGAACTTAAGCCTGGCGGTTTTTTTTTTTTTAATCATGCATCAGTTTTTAGTCAATGCTTAAGTTGTATGTGGTTGTTCGCATACGTCTTAAGGAAATATAACCCTTGTATAAACACAATCGTTCATGTGTTCCAGGGAGAATTCTCCCAGATAGAAGTAAATGGAAACTATTCTAGGTTTGCATCAGGCATGGCTTTTCATGCCCTATGAGATTTGTAGCCAGTGGGGACAGATTCTGCTTTTAAATGTTTCTGCCAAGATGTTCCCTTCTCTCAGTATCAAAATGGAGGCTAAAAGTGCACTGGCCAAGAATTTCTCTTGGTAACGGGAACAGTCCTCATAGAGCAGTGCCTGTAACCACAGTTCTTCTTTGTGAACAGAAATTCCTTTTCCCAATTCTGAGACCCTTTAAAGTGGCTTTTCCTAAGTGTCTCCCTTCCTTTGAAGATGAAATTTTTCTAGATATTCAACCCTGACTTCATGAGAGGCGGTGGGGACTCAGAATAGAGAACGCTCGTGTTCACTTAAGCTGTGAATGCCTGGCTGGCATCAGGTCACACATGTAGCCTGGGGTGGACTTGTCGATAGTTTATCCTGTTGTCTGATGTGGTTACTTCTGTGTCACTACCACCTCCATTCTGGCTTTTCAGGAGTTCTGTGGAAGGAACTCTGATCTCCATTCCACAACAGAAAGGCACAGATCTCTGAACATGTTTTTCATATCAGCAGGAAGCAGGCTGAGTTCTTCATACTCCCTGTAAAAGCAGAGGTTCAGAAAAGGGACTAGCCAGCCTTTCCAGATCCTTATATAAGGTGTTCTAAGAGATGTATGTAATCTCTCTGGTGAAGGCAAGAGGTGGATAACCCAGCTGGTGTCTTCATTCCTGGCCAGTGCTGACTAGCGAGGTGTAAACAATGAGTATGATGTGTATCCCATTGCTTGTAGCATCTCACTACAGGTCCCCTGGTCTTACTACCTGTGTGCCCTGGGGTGCTTCCTGCCCTACCTCTTGAAAGTCCCCTTTACTTGCTGTCTTTGCCTTTCCTTTGCCTTTAAATGAGAGTTGAAATTTTGTAGTATAAGGGCAAAATCATTTGTGACTCTCTCATTAAAGCTGTGTCAATTCCAACTGAAAAAGAAATACACACATGCCTGTACTAACCCAAACTTTGTGTTTTAGTGAATTTTTAAGGCCTCTTTTAGTGTATTGTCAGCGAATTAAGTTTTTCTCCCGACAGACTCATCTCAGTGCTTAAACCCAGCCTTTGACCTTGTAAAATTGCCCTGAAGTTTCTGTCACATCTCACATGTGATGCTTCTCCCTACAGAGAGGTGCCTGGAGGACCATGAGATTGTGGTCCAAGTGGAGAGCACCATGCCAAGTGAGAGTAAATTCTTATTCAGAAAGAACTATGCCAAGTACGAGTTCTTTAAGAATCCAGTGGTAAGTATCCTGAAATCTTGGAATTTTAGATTGAATAAAACTTGATTATCAGATGACGAGCTGAGACTTATAGGTATGTGGGTTTAAGAAGCTGGGTCACTATTCAGTTAAATAGGCCTCACAACCCAATCATCACTAGATGTCCTTCCTCAGAGGGTAGAGATGGTCATACTGGAACAAATTAATCAAATATTCAGCAACTAGCAGATACTCTCTTGATTATATGTTGGTATACTGACATCAACACCTTGATTTTTTTTTTCCATTTGTGGGGAGGTTCCTGTCATGTGACACAGTAGCAAAGGGGCTTTCATGACTTCTGAGCCTTTGGTCTTTTCCTGAGTCACCGAGCAGACTGACGGTCAGCTCGGGGAAACCAGTGTCTACTTCTGGTTCTGGTTCCACTTCACTGTTTTCTTGAAAAGAAAGAAATGTAATAGTTCTGGGTAATTCAGCAGAACTGCAGTCACTGTGTTATTTATTTATTTATTTATTGGCTTGCTTTTGGTTTTCTTTTGTACAAGTTTTGATAAAAGAATGAGAAGGATTGTTATCTAAAATACAAATGGATAATGATCATACCTGGAGAAAATTTAATATTGTCAGACATGTGTCTATAGTGCCTTTTTTTCTCCCTCTCTCTCAGAACTTCTTCCCGGATCAGATGGTCACTTGGTGCCAACAATCCAACGGTGGCCAGGCGCAGCTTCTGCAGGTACTAAGCAAACACTGGGTTCTTGCTGAAATAGACTTGCTGGAAGGTTGAGATAAGGAGCAGATTCCTGAAAAGGAAAGCAGCAGCATTCCTACTACACCATAGTGGGAGCCATTTGCTTCTTTCTGTTTCAATACTAATTGCTGTGTTCTACACAACACCAGTTTTGTTGGGATTTTAAGAAGTTTGAAGGAAGAAAATTTTGCCTAACCTTCCCCAGAGTATTTTACTGATTCAGAAAATGTCAGCTATATATAATAAGATATCTGCTTTCATTATTCTATGTGTGTATTGCCTAATTTTAAAAATGTATTCCTTCACAGAATTTTCTGAACTCCAGCAGCTGCCCTGAGATCCAGGGCTTCTTGCAGGTGAAGGAGGTAGGACGTAAGTCCTGGAAGAAGCTGTATGTGTGCCTGCGCAGATCTGGCCTCTATTACTCCACCAAGGGGACTTCAAAAGTAAGTTCTAGAACATTCCACTTCTCCCTGTGCTAGGTGTTCTTGCTGTGGCCTTGGGCTTAATTTTTAAAAGTCCCTGAACCTCTTTTATGCTAGTGTTCACTAATTAATGATCAATTTATATAATAATTGTACACACAGTACTGGTCTATCAGAAATTGGATGGAAACATACAGGGCAACAGCTCCTGTTCCTCTAGGATGGTCAGCCCTGGATCCCTGCTGTGGGTTGATTATAGATACTCCTGGCTGACTCAGTCAATGCAGGGGTGTACTTGGTCTTCATAATTTGGAACTTAGATCCAACCTGGCCATAGGATAGGTACTGGATTATTGTCCTGTATTCATGAGCAAAATATGGCTTTCACTCTACTGGAGCAAATTTTAAGAATTGTATAGTTCATAAAAACAATAGTGAGTCTATTGTAACACAAAGCTGGCATTTGTGGCTTATGCTGTTGTTGAGATTCCATACTGTCCTTTCAGTTCTGTGTATGTGACCTGGGGAAAAAGGTGAGCTTTTAGCATTATAGACTTTTTTCCAGAAAATGTGACCTCACAGTTCACTTGACTGCTGTTTTGCAGGAACCCAGACACCTGCAGCTGCTGGCTGACCTGGAAGAAAGCAGCATCTTCTACCTGATTGCTGGAAAGAAGCAGTACAACGCACCCAATGAACATGGGATGTGCATCAAGGTACTGCACAGAATGCTGTCCATTTGCTGGGACTGGGAGCTATGCAAAGGCATTTTCTCCTGGCCAGTATTTATTTGGTTGTGGATCCTTCTGCTCTAAACAGAAAACTTTCAATAGCCTGGGTGCTTGGTAGACACACACTCTATGGAGCACTAAGAGGCCTCGATGACTTAAGGCCAGGTAGCCATTAGCCCTCCTGCACTGGGTACAGCTTTTACCTGGTCATAGTAAGGAGAAGCAGAAACTGGTTAAGGAAGGGACCCTTGACCTGACACCTGATTGCCTGCAGCTATTAAGTGTACTACACTGTCTATGTAGGCTTCTGATCATGAGGATTGACCATGATACTGCCTACCCGCTATATGTGTATATGAGAACACTGTCACATGGATATAGATGTGTGCCTGTAGTCAGAACACACAGATGTGAATGTGTACATGGGTGCAAACAATGCATACTTGCACATATATGCACACACACCACAGCCAAGACCATGTTCTTTTTCCTCTTGGTGAAATTGTGGCAGTGTTGATTATCATGGTCATGACTACTATCTCCTGAACACTTATGCATGACCTGTTGTAATCATTTTATAGTCACTGTCTTATTTAATCTCCATGGATACTTGGGAGATAAGAGCTAGATCAGCTTCCTTGCCTTTGCGCAGATAACCAGTGACTAGTTGTACTTGGATCTCACCATGGTGTATTGGCTTCTAAGGTTTGAGGACAGCCTTCTCTAACATTGGGTGTATGAGTTCACACTGTTTCACTGGTTGGCTTTTTGTCTCTCCTGTAGCCAAACAAAGCGAAGACTGAGATGAAGGAGCTTCGTCTGCTCTGTGCCGAAGATGAGCAGATCCGTACTTGCTGGATGACAGCCTTCAGACTCCTCAAGGTAACATGACTCAAGGCTATAGTTGGTTGCACCTCATGCAGAACAAGCAACTGGATGTGGGTCCATCCTGGCACAAAAATGCTATGTCGTTTCTACTAAATGTGATTTATCAACTGTAGTTGTATATTCTTCTACATAAGGGCTCAGACCACTAGAAACGGTAGAAACAGGTTTTCCGGCTTGAGCACTATCAAGTGTTGACGTAAACTGATTCCTTTTTGGCTATCGATGGAGTTCTGTCCATTGTAGATCTCTTCTACAAGATGCCCCTAGTCAGTGGAGACAGCCAAAAATGCCTCTAGATGTTTTCAAATGTCCTCTGAGCATCAGGGGGTAAGAAATTTCCCTGTAGTAGACAACTCTCAGTTCTAAGCCTGTTCAAAGTCTGTCATCAAACTGACATGATATAAGCTAGCCGTGAAAGGAATACTTTGTATATGTTAAAATAATAAGATTTCTAGGTTTGTTACGCATGCCTAGAATCCCAGCAGTTAGAGGTGGAGGTAGGAAGATGGTTGAGTTTGAGGACAGCTTAGACCTTATTCAGAAACCCTTTCTTTAAAAAAGGAAAAAGAAAAAAAAAAGGAAAAAGAAAGTTGATCAATGTTTTAGAAAAACTATTAGTTAAAAAATAAGTATGTGGGGCTGGAGAGATGGCTCAGGGGTTAAGAGCACTAGCTGCTCTTCCAGTAGGTCATGAGTTCAATTCCCAGCAACCACATGGTGGCTCACAACCATCTGTAATTGGATCCAATGCTCTCTTCACATAAAATAAATAAATAAATCTTTAAAAAAAAAAAAATAAGTATGTAACAATATTAGGATGTCCTTCATTTTTGGGTAGGAGAAAGGCATTGCTGTGCTCAGTGGAACAGATTTACTTAGTGGACAATGCAGGACGTAGAGTCAGCTTTTTTTGCTCTTCGTCACTTCTTGGACATAGGACTGTACTAGAGGGTTAGAAAGTTGTAACGGTTACCTACTTCTCTTCTCCTCCTTTTCTGAAAGTTTCTTAAACTGATGTAAAAATTTCCCCCACAAAATGTCTTGCTGAATCAGCACAAGAGCCTGTCATTGTGGTTGCTTTGGTTTTAAATTACCCCACCCTAAAAAGGCAATTAGGTTCATGTTCTGCAAGACAGCAGACCACCAAGAGGCATAAGGAGCCTCCTCTGCAAAAGCACTTTGACAGTAGGACCAGCATGTTGGAAACAAAGAAGAAATTCACTGCAGTGCTCTGAAGCAGCTAAATGTGGTGATCAAAGTCCTTTCAGCAGTGAGAAGGTTATGCAGAACAAAAGACTGCTCTGGGTATAAAGAGGTCAGAGAAGCCTTGTGGGGGCCTAGCCTGACTGCCAGGGAGAGCAGCAGACTAAGAACCACAGAATGACTTGGGTGGCTTAGTGTCAGCAGCCTTTCCTTAAGTATCTCCCCTTGGTTGCAAGCACTCACTCACTCCCTGGTTCCACACAGGAGTCTCAGTTACTGAAAGGAGGTGTCTCCTGACTATGGCAAAAATGAAAGATAAGGCCAGTAGGATGAATTGGGCCTCAAGCCAATTGTTCTCATAAGGAAAGTACAGCTTTGTAGTCCTTCAGACTGAGATGATGGCCACCTTACCTAATGATATTAAAATACCCTTTGTTTTGTAGCCTATTGAGACCAAGTGGAAGGATTCAGTTAATTTTTTGTGCATAGATGTTAGTTATCTTAACTTGTAAGTCAGCTGTTCAAACCTTAGGCAGTTGGAGTTTTCCCCTCCCCCAAATGTATTTCTTTGTCATATATATATTGTAAGCTTTGTGGGTTTAGAACTTTCATTGCATTTTTTCCCCTAAAGAGGCCAAAGCTAGTGGTTTTCAAAGATTTTTATAGCAGAATGTTTCCTCATTTTAGGGCAGAATCTGTAACTGCCCAATATAACAAACAAATAAAAAGCCTGATTTTTTTTTTAATGTGCCGTATTAGAGTATTATGAGTTAGGAGGAATCTCCAGTCTCAGTGGCTTGTAACAATGAAGACGTATTCCTTACCCTTGGCCTGCTAGAACTTGGCAAGGAATGTAGCCACAGCCTGGGTTTCCATGACCTGAAGAAGGGACAAGAGTCCGACAGTTAGATGTTCAAGCCACTTCTGATCCAGGGGCATGAGCCATCTAATCTTGAGCCTGGTTGTACTTAATAGATTTGCTTAACACCTATGCTAAATAGGGTGTGCCTTCCATTAAATTACAGCTCCCTCCTGTTTAAAAGCATTTCTTTAAATTTGTCTTATATTCCTGGAGTTGAGGTGCATTCTCTGAAGCATTCTTTGACCATGACTCTAAAGCTTTTTTTACCCTTGCACAAAGCAGTAAACTTGCCTACTACCTCACTTAAGAACCTATGTGTCTCACTGAGTTAGTAGAGAAAGATCTGTCCTTTTATTCGACGTTTTGGGTCTTCTAGGGTTAATGGCCAGAATAGAAACTAGGTAATAAAGGAAATCTGTCAATGCACAATAGATTCGCAAAGCAAATGGATTCCTTTCATTAGATCCCCAAACTCAACCCCATTTGTAATGTTAAACTCCTGTGAACTTTATTGATGTGCTTATGGTTCTTTATTATGTTAATTTATTAATTAGTTTCTTTAGGGGAATGTGTGTGGGCATGTGTATAGAGGTCAGAGGACAACTTGGGGTAGTCTTCTCCTTCACCATGTAAGTTCTGGGGACCAAATCCCGGCTTGGTGACAAGCACCTTTACTCCCTGAGGCATCTCGCCAGCCCAGAAGGATATTTCTTTACATGGCAAGTTCTGAATGTGGAGACATGGCTGTTGTCTCTTTACACAAAGAAACAAAACAGTCCACTGTTACCTTAATCCTCTGCTGTTTGGGAGAGTCACATTTAATGTGATGTGAATAGGGAGTGAAAGGCTACACGGCAATGCAGCAGGAAACATTGTTAGAGCACACAAAGGAAATCACCGTAATTGGACTATACATGTATCTTTAAAGCCCAGTCACCTAAAGTAAAAGGGAAATGAAAGAACGTAACTCTGTAGACAGCTGCTACATAAATGGCTAATGGCTTAACCACTTAAAGAGGTTGTATGAATACAGCTACCACCGTGTGGGTCCTTATATTCTTAAGTAGAAACAGTGTGAATTTGTAGTCTTTAAACTAAAACCAACAAATGTGAAAACAGTCTATTTCCTTAGTAACTGAGATTTTAAAAAATATATTAAAAAATTCAATGCAAATAAAGTATAATTTTATACCTACTTATAGAAACGATCTATTTAAAATAATTCATAGATCAAGGAGAGAAGGTAAAAGAAAATCAGAAGATATATCAGTTGAGTAATTATAAAAGTACCACAAATTCCAGTTACAGCAGAATAACTGTAACTTGTACAATTCCAGATGAATGACCCTTCTCCAAAATACTTGGCACCAGAAACACTTTGGCTTTTGGCTTTTTGTGACCCAGGAATATTTGTCTAAACATGAAATACATTTGTTTCATACATATATTTTACACATGGCCTGAAGTAATTTTACATATTTGCCTAGACACTGATCTCTCACATTCAATCCCAAAATCAAATTTGGGATTTTCTACTTGAGACGCTATATTGTTGCTCAAAAGAGTACATATTTTAGGTTTTCTTATTAGGAGTGTCACTGGGTATTGTGGGGAGAGGCCCTCTAGATTTCCCTCCCCTTCATTAATGAGCTAGGGCTACAAATTTAGCAAAGCTTGTATATGCATTATTATAATGAAAGGGATAATAATTAGTTGTGAGTTGATGGCCTGAAAGTAACCCTGAAGAGAGGAGTCAGGTACATATACAGTACTTGACCCTACTGACAATAATGTGTGATAATTCACCCAAAGCTTTACTGATCAGGTAAGCTCACCCAGACCTTAGTGTAGACCCCAATTTCCATGCATTGTTGGCCATACAGACCCATCACTTATGTGGCTGGTCTTAGTCCCTAGCATGGCCCCAGGCCCAACATGAGTCACATTCTTAACATAGGCTCTGTGGTCTGGCCTAGGGCCCCCAGTTAAGCACATATATCAGGCAGGCCATTCTAATGACTCAGAGACCACTGTTCTCCAGTGGGTACCCCAGTACAACAACTTGCAACTTTTTAACTTACTAAAAAGTCATGTTATTTGATCCCTTCACCACAGATAGGCTGACATAAGAGCTGTCTTCGTGTCCTATACCACCTATTTGAAATATTCTTGTTGCGGATAGTCGTTCTCTGCATACTAAAATCCCCTAAGACATCCTGCTGCTGTGCTTTATATATTCACATTTTATTTTAATCTGCATGTTTGCACTATGATTTTTCCCCTGAAGATGCATTGTTTTCTGGAACTAGAAGAAGTCAGCTCTAGTGTGGACCCTAGAAACTCTTAGTCTTGCCTCCATTAGTGAAGGAACAGCTCACTAGGAGCAGTAATTTCTCACTATCCTTTGTCTTGTGACTCATTCATGGAAAAATGTCAACTGTTTTTGTTTTGATATGTTTTCTGTCTTTTTTTTTTTAGCAGTTTTCTTATGATGTGCCTGATTTATATATTCTCGACTCTAGAGTTTGGTTATTTTCTTAGCAATAGGAGGAAATTCTTGGTGATTTCCACTTCAGACACTTGTCTTGCCCTGTCCCCTCTCTTCTCCTCTCACAGAAGTGGACTTCCACTCATGGAGAATGTTTTTGTCATGTTGTACATGTTTGTACTTTAGGGAGGAGTGTCCCTATAGGACCAAAAGCTGAAAGAGAGCTCATCCCTCATGAAGGAAGGACAAGAGGGTGGTGCAGCCACTTCATAATTTTATTTCCTCTTTCTTGTGCCTTCTCACTTGCTCACTCTCAGAATTTTCTAATTTGGTGTTTTGCATAAATAGTTTGGGAGTGGTTTGGGGGCTGTTCAAAGTATATGAAACCTGGAGACTCTGGAGACCAGCTTTAGAACTAGCTGGCTGTGTGTTGTAGGTCCTGAATGCCTCTCTTCTCGTGACCTTGGACCACTTGCTCCCTTGTGTTTCTGTGCCGTTATCTGTAGAGTGGGGCTAATGATAGTATATTGATCATAAAAATGGGTAGTAGCAAATGCAGTAGATCACTTAGACTATTCTATTTGACTCATGCAAATCTCCAGAAAGGTAATTACTCTTGACCTTGGTATTATGATAGGTGTTGTTGCCCTGTTTGTTTCCCTCTCCCAACATTCCCAAAACAGTCAGCAACCCCCTCTTCCAGGATAGAAGTTCTGAGGCAGAACTCAACAGAAGCTCACTATCCCCCGAGTGTTATGTCCATGGCGGCCGGGGGGGGGGGGGGGGGGGGGCTTTCGCAGAGAGTACTCCGCTATTGTGCATCAGAACTGCCCTCCCAGCTGTGGGGTTTGCTGTGGACTGGGGCTATGGAAGCTCTCAGGTGCTGGTACTAACGCTAGTCTTTCCTCTTCAGTATGGAATGCTCCTGTACCAAAACTATCGCATCCCGCAGCAGAGGAAGGGTCTGCCCCCTCCTTTCAATGCACCTATGGTAAGTGGTGGAGTCAGGGCCCTCAAGAGTCAAGGCTGTGGGAACCTCATTGCAACATGCCTTGCCTGTTCCAGAAATAAGGGGAGCCATCTTTCTTATCTTTGGCTTTTGTTTTGGAACCCATGGATGCTGAAGCCATTCTCTAGTGAAGATACTGAGAGTATAACCACTCCTGCTCCCCAAAGCACAGAAATGCACCATATTATCAAATTGTGATTTTAAAGACCCTCTGGTACTTACTCCCAGGAGAGACAGCAAGCTATAGTCTTGTGTCTACTTCCCTAAACTAATGCCCCCAAGCATTGTCTTCAGTGAAGAATTGGAGATGATCACCTTCCTTCTTTCCTTTCCTTCTTTTTAAACAAAGCCCGAAGCCATTTTTAGTGTGGTTCCATTTAGATAACTAAGCTTTCAATGTAAAACAGGGAATTCTGTAGCACCCTTCCTGGTGTCTTTATGATTGTTTCATGGTGGGAGGGAGGTCTCTTTGACATGTTGCTCTGGCTGATTCCCCTGCATCTTACAATCTGTGGCCTTTGCTTTACAGCGCAGCGTTTCTGAGAATTCTCTTGTGGCCATGGATTTTTCTGGACAAGTTGGAAGAGTGATTGATAATCCGGCTGAAGCCCAGAGTGCTGCCCTGGAAGAGGGCCATGCCTGGCGTGTAAGTCACTAACCCCAGTCTGGTTGAAACTGGTTACACACATACTCCCAAGTTTTGCCAGGAGAATGGCTCTGCTAGTGTTGGTGGAAGGAACTATGGGAGTACGTGCAGGAAGCGGCTGGCCCCAAAGGTCCCCCATGCTGTCAGCCCTCCACACCAGTCTATCCTGAGCTGTTCCTGTGATAAATTACTAGTGGCTATTCGTGGAGGGCACGGGGCCAGACGTTCACATGAGGACTCCACGGGGAACAGTTCTCTTTCTAAGCTCAAATGCTGAATCTGCAGATGGAAAGATTATCTCCCATCTCAGGTTTCCCTGAAATTTAAAGACCATGTGCAGAACACCTGCCCAGGGCTCTGCTTAGAAGACATTCCCAGTCCTTCATCCATAGTGTGGGAAAAGGGCAAAAGTCTTCAGTACAGGGACTCAGGAGAGCAGTGTTCTGAAAACTGTCGGAGCTTAAAGTGCTAGCCTGTGCTGCTCTGCTGAGTCTCCGGGATTTTTATCCTAAGTAGTCTGGATAAGAAACATGTTACCACAGCCACAGTTGGCTAGAAATAACCAAAATGTATTCTATTTACCATTTTGGCCAGTAACCTCTTTATTCTCCATAGTCAGGTAGTGTCATTGGAGGCTGAGGGTTAGGGAACACTGCTCAGCCACCCTGTCCTGGACAGTGGGTGCCTTGGTATGTCAATTTCTCATCTTTGCTGATGTAAGCATTTCTATTACAGAAGCGAAGCACTCGCATGAATGTCCTAAGCAGCCAAAGCCCTCTTCATCCTTCGACTCTGAATTCAGGTAAGCATGTCTATAAAGGCGAAGACCTCTGCTCTCTGAGCCTTTCTTAAACTGTGCACAATGCACAGGCAGAGCTACCTCTGCTTCCACGCTACGAGAGCTGAGCTCCAAGTTTGTCAGAGTTGTTTTCTTGGCTCTTGAGGGTCTCTATAGAGGAGCCATGTCTTACCCTCCATTCCCCATCTCTCCTGCAGTGATTCACAGGACTCAGCATTGGTTCCATGGACGTATCTCCCGCGAGGAGTCTCACAGGATCATCAAGCAACAAGGTCTCGTGGACGGGTAAGGAAACTGGACCAGTTAAATCTATGACCTGTTGAGGTCTTAATGTGCTGAACACTTGCTCTGCCTCACACAAGGACTCACAATTCCCTAAAGAAACTAGCTCAGAGGCAAAGTATGATGCCTATGCCAAGTTAAGGGCAGAAGTGATTTCCAACTGTCCTGTCCTGCAAATATATACATATGTGCCCTCTACCTCTTCACTGAAATTTCAATAGAAAAGAACAAGGCTGGTTATTTTTACTTTTTAAGGCAGTAAACAAAGAGGAAAAAAATAAATCATCAACACCTTTTTATTTATACACTTTATAAATCCCCTTTTATGAGAGCAGCCTCAGACAGCTGTGGTTTAGAGCCACAAGAGGCTTGCATCTTACAGTTATGACTGCTCAAGTAGATTGTCTCACTACTAAGCCACTCTGGACAACAGAGGATGTGGATGATAGCAGCCATTGGCCAGAGTGACTAGGTGACTGAACGCATGCATGTAGCAGGTTGACCTGCAAGCATTCACATCATTAGCTGTCACAAGGTAACGTCAGGGTGCAAGCTGTATCACAGCACAGTTATCCCAGGGGCCTCTCCTAGTCCTTGCCTTCATCTTGTCCCAGCACCCTATCTACAGACAAAAAATAGTAGGTAGATAAATGACTGAGGCAGGGACCACCATCTTGTCCCTGGTCAGAAAGGAACACTCTAGCTCCCTGGTTTCAGTGTGAATAACCATGTTCTTTTCATGGCATCTTGTCATCTTACCTGCAGTGGAACATGTTCCATGACAATAGCACCCATGATTATGTCCTCCCTCCACCTCCCCCCACCCCCACCCCAAAAAGTGGTTTACAAAACAATGGGCTTCATTACAGAGTTTTAATATATACCTGTTATTGTACTTTTTCCATATTTTTCCCTTCTTACTTTCCTTGTCGCTTGTCTTCCACTGGTCCCTCTCCTCCCTACCAAATAGGACTGGTCCCTCTTACTTTCATTGATTTCATGTGATCACTGTAGATACAGATAAAGATATATAGTTAAATAGGGATTCTGAATATGAGAAAAACATGCGACATATCTTAGGTCTGGGATAACATTTTCCCTATAAGCCTGGCTAAACTGTGCCATGGAATAATATGCTGGTGTGGATTTCCCAGTCCTATTTAACTGCCTTCTGTTCAAATATCACACTTTCCAAGCTGGTGACACCACTATTAGTGGTAGTTTGGTCTAATGTCTCAAGACATTTCTTCTTCATAATGCCAGTAGGGCTTGGAAACTTTCTTCTTTCCTAATGTGTTTAAGGTATGGGAAAGCATGAGTTTAGACTTCTTTGTGCTGTTCTATTTTAAATTTTATTTTGTAATTGTTTAGAGGTTGTAGAAAAGTTTCAGGAAAAATGCAGTCAACTCTAGTATATAACTTTACCCAGGACCACTGGTTAACAAGACAGCACATTCACTCTGCCATTGTTTATTTATTTTAATTATTTAAAAGTAAATTATAGATCAGTGTCCTTTTATTCCTAGTGGAAGCTTTGTGTGGTCTTACATAACCAAGGTGGCATTATAAAAGCCAGGAAGCTAACACTGATACAGTTGCCACTTATTCATTTAAATTTTTGTAGTACCCCCTCATTGCATGCTTCATAAGAAAACGAAAAAAATCCACAACCTTGGGTAATGCATCTAACATCCTCAAAGGCATTATAGTCGGTTCCTGTTGTGAGCAGACAACAGACCTGACAAGTGGTGTCTGGATTTACTCCAGGCAGTTTCCCATGGCTAGAGTTGGCTCATATATCTGGGGCAAGAGTACACAGGAAATGGTTCAGTAGCCTCCTCGGTGTATTCAGGCTGGAGACATCTCTCCTATCCCCATGGTGGTGACCTGACGCGGGATAAAGACAGTCTCAATTTGATTCCTGTACCATCAAGCTAATATGTTCCCTTTTGTAAAGAGTAAATATCAAGAAAAAGGCACCGTTGCAGTGGGAAATGTTTCTTTTCAAGCATGTATCCCCAGGTGAATACTTCCAGTCTTCCACTCCTCCCTTGTGTGCTCGACATCTTCTCTTTGTTGGATAATTGTGGCATATCCCTATCAACCTTTGAACACTTTCTGACTCTCTAATACAGAACATTGCAGTTCCATCTTTGTAGTTTCCCTGCCTTGCCTGAATCCATCATATTCTCAGGGCCCCTGGTTCCTTTCAGTGTTGAATGGCATCTAGACTACCTTCTGTGTGCTGCATCCACTGTAGCCACTGAAAGTCACTCAGGTGCCAGCACACCAAAGTGTCATGGCTGCAAGCCCATTTTTCTCAGTCAGTTCTAGCTGGTATACACATGCATACATGTATGTTCATACATGGACAATTCATTTGGGATTTTAAAAGGAATCAATAATAAATTGCTGGTTTTCCACTCCGCAGGCTGTTCCTTCTTCGTGACAGCCAGAGTAATCCAAAGGCGTTCGTACTGACACTGTGCCATCACCAGAAGATTAAAAACTTCCAGATCTTGCCTGTAAGTACCAATGCCTTTAACTTAGTCTCCCTTCTGAGTTCCCTGGTTCTATTTCTAATGCAGTTCCCAATTTAAACATAACAAGCTTATAGATGGGAGCCAACGGCTTCAAGTCTAGGGAAGCAGTTCTCAAGAGTCCCCAAGAGGGAATACTGCTGAGAGGCCACTGTTGCCGAGACCTCAGCTTATGTGAAACTATGTAGGAGTATCCAGGTATACTAGACTCTTGCAGCAGATTGGACATTGGCTCTTTTCTGCACAGGAATGGTCAGACCTGAGCCAGTGTGCCCCATGGCTGCTCAAAATATAAAGGAACTTGCTGATGGTTAAGTGGGTCCCAAGGGAGCTCATGGTCTTCTGCCCACCTGGTCATTGGATCATGAGACAGTTCTACCTGTGGTCTATTCCACTGTGCCATGACAGACCACCTTCCTCAGCCCCCTTTGCTTTCCTTTGTAAAGCACAGAACTTAGGAGACTGTCTGATGTAGTTTAACCCTCCCTGCAGTGCCACAGGTTATTCCCCAAGATCACACCCTCTAACATGGCAAGTGTTTTTGTTTTCTGTGTCTCCACAGTGTGAGGATGATGGGCAGACCTTCTTCACTCTGGATGATGGGAACACCAAGTTCTCCGATCTGATCCAGCTGGTCGACTTCTACCAGCTCAACAAAGGTGTTCTGCCCTGCAAGCTGAAGCACCACTGCATCCGCGTGGCCTTGTGACCTCCCTACCCGCTCACTCACAGAGGCTGGAGGCAGCAACACTGGAACGGAGAAGAGAGGCCTGCATGAGGGTGAGAACACACAACACCTACTCCCACCCAAGGACTCAGAACAACATGGCTTTTTGATCGGTACCAACCGACCTACATCAATTAGTTATTGGACTTCACAAAGATTTGCCGTTTCGGATCAAGCAGGACCACCTCCCTCTGCGTCAGCCATTTAAAATTGGGGGAGGGAAGAGATCCAGTGCAAGTGTGGGAAGAAACTGGAATGACGATTTTGATTAGGCCACGTAGGGTGAAAACCGCAGAGAAAATGATTGGAAATGAACTCTTGCCCTGGAATAACCTTGACAATTCAAAACGCGATGTTTACTTTTTGTATTGATCACTTTTTTGCACTCCTTCTTCGTTGTCAATGTTGTACTCGGCCTATGGTAGGAGAGGATGCTGTGGCTTTGCAACCCAGATGAGACAAAGAGTTTTTGAATTGGCAGGCTTCGGCCTACAAATGGCTCCCCAAAGTTTTCTAGATGGCATCCTGCTCTCTGCAGGCTGCAACAGTGTGGGTTTGGCTCCTACATTATAGACACCCCAGTCCTCCCCATTATACTTGAAAAGCGCTTTTTTTTTTTAAACAAAAAATAATAAAATAAAAGGTGTCATCCGCAGATGACACCAAGCATGTTTTGTGGACGCAATCAAGCTGCCACAGTCTGGTCATCGTTGTTGTTGTGCTGACGTCTGGTCATTTATTATTAGTGTGTCTCGTTCTCCACAGTGCCGGAGACCTCATAACTTTGGAAAACTCACTGTTCCCAGCACAGCACAGCTGCATGACCTCAGCTTCAGACTGATGTCAGCCAGCCTTCTTGGAACACATTGGTATTCATTGTGGATGCCACACAGTCCATCTGGGGTGCCCTGTGCCTCCCATTTTCACAGCCGCCCACTGTTGTAGAATAATCGCTGCCTTTACCCTCTGCAGTAGCCTCAGTCATTTCAGTTCTCCCACAGGGGTGGGATGGGGTGGGGGGGTGGGGTTAAAGGATCGAAAGAGAAAAATGCCAACTTGTTGGCCTTGTGCTCTGTCACTCTGAGCATTGATGTTGATAAAGAGAAGGAAACACTGCAGAGGCACAGCCTTAGGCTGGCTTTTAAGTCTTCGCTTGATGACCTCTGCACCCTACTGAAAACCCCCTAAGCCAGCAGGAGCAGGGTATGCAGAGGCTCTGCCTCTGCTGGCTTAGGGTGAGAAGTACCTCACAGTGGTTGTGAACATTGGACAGATTTTAGGAGCATGATGTTTTGCCTCCTCCTCTGAGAGAGGAGTCAGAAGGTGGCCGGAGTTATCATTGAGTCCCCTGAGCTCCATGGAGGACCCTCTGTTGTCCCCTTGATGATTTATCAGGCATGAGAGTAGCAGACAGGACTCTCTTGAGAAACACACAGACAATTGTGGTGAACACATTTCCTTTTTTGACACCACATAGGAAGTCTGCTACATACCTGAGCTAGCCACTAGATTGCCAGTCCCGACTCATTGAAGTGCTCCCCAGGGAGCCACTTCCGATTTTGCTGCGGTTGACGGCATAGTGGAAGATAGATATGACAGCGCTTTGTAAAGCAGACCAGCAAGAAGCTGGTCCACAGGATAGAAACACTGTAGTTCACAGACCACGCAACCGTGTTTCCACGAGATGTTATTACAACAAATGAAGAATTTTTTTCCTTTTTTTTCTTTTTAATCTTTTTGACTTTTTTTTAGTTAACCATTTTCTTATGCATAAGTGCTCAATTGCATTTCTCTTTCTTTCGCAGCTAGTTAATCGTTCAGTTGACAATGAGAGAATTCTCAAGTTCATACCTGGCAGCAGGCTCCCACTGATCTTCCCCTTAAAGACAGATAACGGACATTTCAGTTTTACCATACTCGTTTCTTTTTGCTGACTTAAGGTCAGAACTTTACAAACAGACAATAAACAACCCTAGGGTTTCTTTTTCCAGTTTACACAGACCAGTCCCCACAGTGCATAATCCTTTTCTCTTTTGCCTCTACAGTAGAACAGCTAGGATGTGTATCTCATATTTATAAGTATGCATTTTATTTAAGAGGAAGTATAGGCTTGACTCTGGTTCACAATTTTGTACGTAGCTGGTTTGACGTAGTATTTTGTACTTCCCTTGCCGAAGTGAATTGTTGAAGGCTGCAACCCACCCGCCTTGAGTGTGGCAGACTTCAGTGGCCCAGAGCTCACCAGCCTTTGCACAGGCAGCTGGGAATTCCACCTTAAAACAGCTGGTCCCTAGGTTAGTGGGTACCCAGCCCCCCTAATCAGAGACTGAAGGACAATTGACTTTTATTTTTGTATTTAATTGACATGAATGTAAAGGGGACAGCTCAGGGTTGTTTTGGAGCCTGTTTGACTTTGTAATCTCTGCCTGTGATTTTCTTTTCTAAATGACAACTCCGTGTAACCACCTGGACTAAGTTGAGAAGGAAAATGCCAAATGCTTTGGGTTTTTAGTGTTTTAATAGGGTAGACTCTGTTATATTATTAGGTGTTAAGAGTTTCTGAACGTGTTTTTTCTTTTTTCTTTTTTTGTTTGCTTAAACTTTGAAGAAATATGTGCCTCAGCTTAGATGTTTTGTCTTCTCCTTTCTGCACTTAAATACCTGACAGTCTGTCCGATCGCTGTGCCTCCGAGAGCGCTACTAGCTCATCGTAGATTTGTGATGTCATAGTGCAAAATGCAGTGACCGGAAAAATGACCTGACATGTAAACGTTTCAGGGAATGCAGAGGGTGTTAATTAATAGACAAAACCTTTATCCCGCGTGCTTTGCTTCACTCTGTGCTACATAGCTCTTTGGCTCGTGAACCTAATTGTAAACTTTCAGGTATTTTTGTACAAATAAGGGACTGATGTTCTGTTTCTTGTTATTAGAAATAAACATTAATAAAGCGTTCTTGGTGTCCTGTCGTTTTTATTTTTTACGCCGATATCTAAAAAACTGGGCTTGGGGCGGGTAAGCTTGGTGGGTGAGAGTGACAGTTGTGGGCACAGGAGACTCAGACGTCAGATCCCCAGTAACTGTGGAAATTAGGCAAGGGGTGAACCCCCTCAGCTAGGCCAGCCTCTACCTGTCCTTCCTCCCACAAGAAAGAATCACAGGCTTGGGCTGGAGAGATATGGATAAAATGCTTGTCACACAAGATAAAGATATGTGTTTCAACTGGGTGGCAGCACATGCTTTTAACCCCAGCACTCGGGAGACAGAAGCAGGCAGATCTCTGAGTTTGAGGCTAGTCTGATCTACATAATGAGTTCCAGAACAGCTAGGGCTACACAAAGAAACCCTGTCATGGAGAAAGGAAAAAAAAAAAAAAAAAAGGCTATGAGTTCCAGCCCTAGAACCCACAGAAACACGAGTGGTGCCATACAATTGTAATCCCAGTGCTAAGCAACAATACCTGGGGCTCCCTGGCACCTAGCCTAATTGAGAAGTTCTGGGTTAAATCAAAGAACCTGTCTCACAAAGTAAAGTGGATGGCACCTGGGGAATGACACCCAAGGTTAACCTCTGGCCTCCACACAAACAGGAACATCCTGTTCATGGACACCTATATACCCAGGACTATGTACAGGCATACACAAGGAATCACAAACCTTGGAAGGTTTCAGAAAGTCAGATATCCACAAAGTTTAACAAATGCCTCCAAAATTCACATTTGACAAGGCATTAGAACATCAAGGACCTAGGCTTTCTTGTCAAATAGGAAACTAAGAGGCCTTATAAAGACAACTCAGCAATTAAGGGCACCAGCTGCTCTCCCAGTTTGGCCCCAGCATTGACAAGATAACTTACAACCACCTATTAATTACAGTTCCAGGGAATCAGATTCCCTTTTCTGGTCTCCTCGGGCACCAGGCATGCACATGGTATACATACATGGGAGCAAAACATTTATACATACAAAATAGAATATATTATTGAAAGGAATTGTCAAATTAAGAAAATGGACACATAAGAAAAAAAAAAAAAAGGAAAAGAAAATGGACACACTCTGGCTATTGCTCACTGGAGGGCTCCTTGTCTTCATGCCTCCTCCACAACCTACCCCAGTTACCCAGAGAAAATGGATATTGTAACCTGCAATGTTTGGAAGACTTGTTCATTTAGTTTAGAGCACGAGTCCTTAGGACTATGGAGATGGTTCAGTGGATAAAGTGCTTGCTGTGTCAGCACAAGGAACCAGAGTTTATGTCTCCAGAACCTAAATAAAATTCAGGCAAATGTGGCAGCTCTGTAGTCCCCACATGTGTAGGGCAATGACAGAGTCTATGACAAGCAGGCTAGCCAAACTAGCCAGAATTGGTGAGCCATGGGTTCTGTGAGGGACATGGTTTCAGCAAACTTAAGTAGAGGGTGATCAAGGAAGACGACTGATGTCTGCTTTGGACCTTGACTTGCACCACTCACAATGTGAATCTGCCTTTGCTATAAACTGTCCTCACAAAAACAAGCAAATCTCAAAGGCAGGGCAATAACGAAGCACACCTCTATCCTATCATGACAAGCACTGTCTCACAGGTCTGATAGTTGGAGCCAAGGTGTGTACGGCACTACCAGACCACAGTTTCACTCCAAATAGCACAACAGAAGCCAAACACAGCACACATGGGAAGAAAAAAATCTTCAGAGCACAGTGTGAACCTTGATCTCACTGCTTCATAAGTGGTTAAAGTATATGTTCTGTGCCAATGCTGCACATACCTATAATCCTATAATACCAACACTTGGGAGCAGAGGCAGGAGGACAGTTCTATCAAGGCTAGGCTTAGCAACAAAGGCCAGAAGACAGCTTGGACTATCTCAGACTCTGTTTCAAAATATATTTTTTCAGTCAGTGACCATGAAAACACTAAAGTAGAAAATTCAGTCACACATTGGCACTCTTTTGTATGTGTGTGTGTGTGTGTGTTTATTTTTTTTAAAATCAATTCGTAATTTTTACTTATTCATACAGGGGTTATAAACACAAAAAGGCAGGACGTAGGGAAGGGGATGACACCAAAGCATGTGTGTTCAGGGGGAGTACAGATATCTTTCAGGACAGGGTATCGGCTGGGTGAAGTTTCAGGGGACAGGTCACTATGACTCTGCCTATGATTCACTTTAGACCTCACTCTTAAAGGGAACAAACAGTGGAAAATGCATCATAAAAAGTATCGATCTTTGTCTCAGTGCATGTTCTTTACAGTGATAAAACACCATAACCAAAACAACTTGGGGAGTAAAGGCTTTATTTCATTTTATAGTTGTCCATATGAAGGGAAGCCAGGGCAGGAACTCAAGACAGGAACTAAATCAAAAGACATGAAGGAACTGCTCACTGTCTTCTAGCTTGCTCAGTTTGCTTTCTTACACATGCCAGAACCACTTGCCCATGGATGGCACTGCCCACGTCAATCAAGAAAACACCACACAGACTTGCCTACAGTGTGATAGAGGCATTTTCTCAATTTGAAGTTCCCTCTTCTCAAATGACTTTGTGTCAAGTTGACAAAAAATTAACCAACACAATTGACTTCTTTTCACCTTGACACATGCCCTGGCCCTCGGGGATTCGACAAGACCTTACAAAAGGGGGCGAAAGAATGAAGGGACAAGAGACACAAGAAATGAGAGCAAGTCTGGGGTTCTGATCAAGCTCTGAAACTTTAATTTTGGGTGCAGGTTATAAAAATAGAGCAAACCGGGAAGTTTAGGCAAGGGTGATTGCTCAGGGCTATCTCACTATTGAATCTTCATTGTCTAAGACCATCCCACTGTCATATCCTTATTGCTCTAGACCATCCCACTGTCATACCCTTATGGCCCTAGACCATCCCATTGTTATAACCGGCTCCCAGGAAATGCCAGACGTTCTTTAAGTTCCTGGGGCCTGAGACCTGTGAACGTCCTTTCTTAACCTTGCACTGACTAGGCTTTCTAGAACAG